CCCATTGAGCACGGATCGGAACGCCGGATCGGATTTCTTACTATAATGAGCGTTCCGTTCTCTAGTTCCGTTCCGTAAAAGTTTCCTCTACCAATGTAGCAAAAACGGAATGGATTTCTAGTTATAAAATATATTTCACTCTTCAATTAAATATTTCAGAATATTCATGACAATGTTATCGGCAAGATAATTGCATAAATTATGTATATAATTAATTCTGTCGCGTCAAAATAACGAAATATTGACGAATTAAACATATTTATTTGCGACCGACGCGCCATTCCGTTCCGCTTTTGCTACATGGGACTAGTAGAGGAAACTTTTACGGAACGGAACTAGAGAACGGAACGCTCATTATAGTAAGAAATCCGATCCGGCGTTCCGATTCGTGCTCAATGGGACGGCACCCTAAGGGCTATCGCACAAAAATTGACATAACTGCATATGCATAGCATAAGATCGTATGTACCAATGAGCATCGAGTATTAAGTTGCCATATTGGTGTTCGATGCTTAATATTCGATGCTCATTGGTTCATACGATCTTATGCTATGCATATGCAGTTATGTCAATTTGTGTGCGATAGCCTTTAGAGCTAGAAGGTTATTACGGAAAGCAGCATATTGATTGGCTGTCGCGCGAACTTCCGCTGCGCGGCAAGCATTACCGCGTCCTGTGTGCAGGAGCTATTAGTTTACATCGTGCACTTGATATGTGTACTAAATAGTAACTTTCTATTAGATAATCTTAATATCGATGATATATATAAACAACGGTATATTAAGCTAGTATAATACTCATCAACAAGACGTATTGTATTGATTGAATGCGTCGCCATTGATATGCATTGTCGATATTAAGATTATCTAATAAGTTATTATTTAGTAGGCGTATTAAGTACACGATGTAAGTCAGGCCAATAGCTTTCTGATGAAGAATAGAATTCTATATTAGAAAGCTGTTCTCCTATTGGATATCAAACATCGGATGCGGTGTGAATCCTGCATAAGCAATTGGAAAACCCAGTAGCAATTCGGGTGTATATCAGTTGGACACGGGGCAATTGGACACAGTCCAATTACAAGTCGCTGTTCCAAGGGACCCTACAAATGTCTCTAATCACACGGTGCTGTGATTGGCTGTATCCAAATGCACCGTGTCCAAGTGCACCGTTCCCTAGCAATTCGTAGCGGAAGATTTTATGGCTCCTGCACATAGGATGCGATAATGCTTGCCGCGCAGCGGAAGTCCGCGTAACAGCCAATCAATATGTTGTTTTTCCGTAAGAGCTAGAAGGTTATTACGGAAAGCAGCATATTGATTGGTTGTCGCGCGAACTTTTACCGCGCGACAGCCAATCAATATGTTGTTTTTCCGCAAGAGCTAAAAAGTTATTACAGAAAGCAGCATATTGATTGGCTGTCGCGCGAACTTCCGCCGTGCGGCAAGCATTACCGTGCTCCTGTGTGCAGGAGCCATTAGAACTACATTTCGAATTAAGAGGTCTTTTTGCTAGACCCGATAAAACGAATGAGGTCGAGGTGGATCGTGGTGAGTCGAGAGGAAGTACATGCCGTTCTTATCCGCCATCGAGGTGAGACCAGTCACTTTCCAGACAATTAAGTTGTTAAATCGAAAATCTTCATAAATCTTTTCGTCGACTGCACATCTACGTGGCCATTAAAAATAACGGGAACGTTTGTTGGCTAGGCACCAGTGTCGAGAAAGCGACTAGCTGTTTTCTCATCGTTAATAATCCACAGTCGTCGGTCTCTGTTAGCAGCTTGGTGTGTCGCTGGTCCTCGTGCTTTTTTGCTGTACCATTTGTATATTTATCGTTTGAGAATACTGTTAGAGCACAATGCCAAAGAATAAAGGTCAGTACGACGAGTAGTTTCAGTATTAGTCTTTCCCGTTTAAACTGCACGATTATTTTGTTAAGAAATGATTGTTACGTTTTGTGTTCTGCAATGTGGTTCAAGTTGACCTAACCTAACCTTGCAATACCAAACTTTGACGTTATCTCTTTTTTTTGTGTTTATAATGTTAAGTTCTTTTTGGACCGATACTCGTTTTCGCGATCTACATCGAGCGTTATCGCGAAATTTGTTCTTTTTTTCATAGGAAAGGGAGGTAAAAACAGGAGAAGGGGAAAGAATGAAAATGAAACTGAGAAGAGAGAATTGGTGTTCAAGGAAGATGGACAAGGTAAGAATCTCAGTTTGGAGAATACGACACGTTGTATGTCTGACGTTGCGCCTGAGCACGAAAATCCCTGACAGTTTGCGAACAATCATGAAATTTTGAGATATTAAAAAATGAAAATTGCGCGAACCAAAATGCGCAATGTTGAGTTGAGCTCCACAAGCGCGAGATCTTATCAATCTTTTATTATTATTTCGAGATTTTACGTGGTTGTTTGCAAACTCAAGTTTTTATGCTCAGAATGTATTCTACCTTCACGATATTGTGTATCAGATACTATATATATATACATATATAGAAATAATTTGATACTGTTTATTCTATGCAGAATATGCTCAAGTTACAAAAATGCTGGGTAACGGTAGGCTAGAGGCAATGTGTTTTGATGGTGTCAAACGATTATGTCACATCAGAGGAAAGCTGCGTAAGAAGGTCTGGATAAATCAAGGAGACATCATATTAATTGGGCTGAGAGATTATCAAGATGCCAAGGCAGATGTTATATTGAAATACACATCTGATGAAGCACGTAATCTGAAAACTTATGGTGAATTCCCAGAGACCGGTAAGTGATATTATATTACATGAGCATTGTAATTGAAATTATGGAATATATGGTTCAGTAGAGTTTACATCAAGAATTTCTTTGTGATATAATTTATATTTGTATTGTTTTGAACTAATACAGAATTTTTATTTCTTTCAGTACGAATCAACGATACAGTCACCTTTGTGGAAGATGGACTCGATGAAGATATTGAATTTGGTGATGAAATTAGTAATGATGATGAAGATGATGTTGACAATGTAAGTTTGCATATACCTTTCCTGAAATTATTTTTGTATAAGTTCTTTTTTATCACTATAATTAACTTGTATTCTTTAACTTCTTTAGATTTTACTTCTATAGGATTTTATATTGACATATAGTATAATTAGCTATTATTAACTATTAAACATCTCAAAATTTCTATTAAACTGATTAATTTCATGCTAATTTAATAATGATAAAATATAATATATTATTGTGTTTACAGATCTGATGACCTACAGTATAATAATAATAAAATTATTATTATTATGAATAAAATACATCACCACATAAAATGCATGAGGACAACTATTCATTTTATGAGACGTAATTACACATCAAATTTTTCCCTTATCAAATAGTCCATATATCTTCCCGTGTCTATAAATAAATTATCAGTTAATGGGTAACACTGTGCTCCGTTTTAAAGTTGTAGTGGATTGTGATATTTATAAAATTTTATAGACAAAAATTTTCTGGTAGTGGAACAAAATTACATTATAGTATAAGAAATTTCACATTAATCTCAAATAGAATAGAAACGTTTTTGTTGCAAAATAATATACCACATATATATATATATATATATATATATATTTATATATATGAGAGAGAGTATAGTTTTTTTTTTATATTTATACATAAATTGATAGATAAAATTTGTTTTTTTATTTGCATATCCACTACAATAAACAAAAACGATATACATGTACGCCACTATTTAAACAAAAAATATAAGTATCATCATGTATATCATAGTAAACACAATTTTACATACTTTAATGTTTCACTAAGGCTGTATTCTAAAATTCACTGCCAGCATTGGAAAGCTATAGGCATTATAGATTTTCAGCGCTATCAGTAATTTTGAAACACAGCCTAAAATGTCCGTTAGGACATATGTGTGTAATTAGATCTGTCTCTTACGTTAGTGGGATTTTGGAATTACCAAGAGGATTGCTGTAAAAAGTTAACGCGTGGATCGTAGATCTTACTCGTTTTTTCTATCGTTTCGATGTTGTTTTACCGGTATTGCGATTAATGACAATGTGGAGATCTCGCATTGCGATGAATAACGCGAGAGTGATCCTCGGGACATACGTTTCGCTGCGTAATAGTGCAATCGTTCGGAATATGTTGTCCATTGTTGTCGTCGTCTTGCGTAGAATGTCACTTTGTGTGAATATATAAAGTACCGTCTACAGATGCGCCGTTAACGACGAAGGGAAAAGAAATGAAAAACAAGTTCTCTCAATTGTATTTGTATTAACGAGAAAATCTAAGGTGTAATGCCGTTGTTTCGATCGATTATATAATTAATTAAGCAGAACAATAAGTTATAAATTAACCGTAAACTTGATTTCTCCATTACGATGAATAAAGAATTATGTACGTTTAATGAGTCGTAATGGTCAAGTACTTACCGTGCGTATCCAAATGTCCTTTTCCTACAACTCTACTCGGGAATGCCACGTTGAAGAGCGTCGATAAGATACCGTTATTTTGCCAGCTCTCGTAACGTCGCTGCATTACGATTCTGTAACTCTTAACGACAATGTGTTATCGTTAAGAGTTACAAAATCGTGTGGTAACGCTAGATTGTTTCTAGATCTAAACGGATTTAAATGTTCCGATGTGTTTGCTATTTCCTTTTCTCTTAAGACAATATAACATAATTATATATAAACGAGATTTCATATCTTACCTTAATATTTAGATAGGTCTAGTCGTTGGTTGAAACTTTTCTCACGTGAGATACATATGAAAAAAGCCTCGGCTGGACCTGATACATAGTAATCGAAGGTGAAATATACGAGCGAAAGAGTGGGACGAGCGTCCTCACTCTCTCCCTCCCTCTTTTTTTCCGGCGCGCCTTCGCCCTTCTACTGTAGAGAACATCGTGATTCTGATGCAACATTTTATTTATTATGCCGCTGATAGTTCTATCACACAATATTATATAGTAAATTATAGTCTCTTTCGTTTTTTTTCCTTTTTTGATATCTTGACGCCATGCAATGCCATTGTAGTAATTTTAATGCTATTATAGTATTAAGGAGAGGGACACGTAATTATAGAGTACAGAGAGAAATGCTCTTGGCTGCTTTCACGTGTCACGTTGTCCGCGAAAATCAGGTTGTACAAAAGTATGTGAGATATAAAGCGTCGACCGGACGATTGGTGCATCAATGCTTTAACGACGACGACGGTGAACGGTGATAGTGGCGGCGGTGGCGGCGTCGTCGAGATGATATTACACACGCAAACTAGACAATATAAATGTCTAAAATACATATATATATATATATATATATATATATATATATATATATATATATAAATACCAGCAGCATAAAACAATACCAAGTGTATTGTTGTTGCACGAAGAATATATGCGCGTATCGTTTGTATGCATAACAGCCATGTCGCATTGTAATACAATGTATAACAAGATACATACATCGCGTAGAAAATATTCCCTTTGAACGCGATTGAAAGCACGAAGTGCGCGGGCATCGTCGACGACAGCATTGAGGTGCCAGCGCGTCGCGGCCGATTCGTAATAATGAACTATATACTAAATGTTACGACAATACATGGGAGCATATTATTTTATTTTGATGCGCGTGTGATTGTGCCTTTGGTCCTTAGGTCAGATAGGCTCTAGGCAAGTCTATTAAACGTAGTATAACAGTCATCATAGATATAATAATTTATAAACTTCAGATGCATAATCATTATATATCTTTCAATGTATCATACATTAATAGAATACCTTATTTAAATTTTTTTGTGTGTGTCTTCATATAGTGTATACATACATATATATATTGGACACACACACATATATATATATATATATGTATGTTCCGATAATGCGATATATATATACATATATATTATATGATCCCCCTTCCCCTTCTCTTTCTGTGCTCATTAAAATTGTGTCATACACTGAAAGCTAACACCGCTTAGGATATATTGAGAACGAATCGTTAAAATTTCGAACAACATAATCTCCGCATCGTCCGCCACTCCGCTCTCTACTACTAATTCACGTTGATTCACGTGGATGACACAACACTGACGACGTCGAAACTCACCCGACCTTATTACAAATTAACGAGCGTAACGAGTTCTTTTCTCCTTCTTATTCAGGGGGCCCGCTATGTAAATAAAATATTCCTGTTAGAATCTTATAATTATTACAATCGTATCCATAGTACATTTATATAAGTTATACGCTAAAAACTTATTATATATACAATTAAAAACTGTTAGGAAATATCCTTTTTTTAAACAAGTTAAATTTACATTATATCCCGATGCATAAAAACATTTATCTCTCGCTGTTAATCAAATCAACGTGAGCGGCTAGTTTCAGTATTTTTTCTTTCCATCCCCTCCCCCCCCCTTTATTTTTATTGTGCGCGGACTCGCGATTGAGTCGAATAACAGCGAGAAACTTTCCCCATTCCCTCTCAGAAACTTCGTCAATTGTCCATCGTCGAAAGTATGTTAATGAAATATATATTTATATATATATATATATATATTTTTTTTTTTATATATATATATTGCCGACCTATTAAGCGATGTATTGCGCGGATAGAGATATACAACCATCCTAAAGCTTAAACGGACTATTATCGCGAGAATCTTACTAGTTTAAAACGATCGGTGATATCGACAGATCGTTCGCTCGAGACGATCCTTTATCCTGTGCACTCCCGTCTTGTTCACACATCTTCTTTCTAATATTTTCCTATTCTCATTGCCTTCGTCTCGTCTCTCCACGTTCGCCTGTCTTTCCTTCCTTTTCTCTTTCCCTTCCTCTTTCCCTCTCTTCCAATTCGCATTTAACTTCGAACAACACGAGAAAGGCGTTGTACATGGACGGGTTGGCATAGTGAAGACTAGCGCGGATCGGCTAGTCGGACTAGCAACGACAATACACAACATCATCATCATCATCATTATCGTCATCATCGTCGATTGATCGCGCGAGATTGAAGAACGCAAAGAGTGTAAGGCAACTGAGCGGAACGGAAAGGCAAGCAAATCCGAAGCATAGGCCATGAGAGAGCGTGGTAGTTAAAAGTCCGTGCATGCTTGGTGTAGCCCCGGAGACGAGGACGTCGTCTGTCCCCGCGAAGATACGCGCGCGCGCGCACGACGACTCAGGACACTCTGGGACGTCGTGTGAGTTCTTGCGCCCCGCGGCTCTCTACAGGTGTGTGGAAATCGAGAACTCGTCGTCATTCGACACCCGAGGACGCGTCGAGCCTCACGAGAGCCGATGGCTTCGTTCTGAAGCGTCGATTTTGTGATCAACGCGGCGAATCCGCGTCGAGAGACCGCTCGGCGATTTCTCCTCTGTATCTCTCTCTCTCTTTCCTCCTTCCCATTTCTCTTCTTTCACGATTCTTCCTCGAGGAGTAGTTGGTTGTCCCGCTCTTAGTGGTCCTTCTTCTCCTCCGTCATGAACGTATCCATGATCTTCTGCATAGATTCTCGCAGCTCGTCCGTTCCGCCGGCTCCCGTGGACGATATTGTTCTTGTCTCCGTTCGCGTGGTCGTCGTTATACTGCAAAAGACGACTCCCTTGAGATTACATTTATCTCGTTTCCTTGTCTTTTGTGTTTACTGTTCCTTACACATCGTACCGCCGCCTGGAGTCTTCAGGTATGTATATGTGAAGGAGAAATGAACTTGACGGTACTTTTGCTTTTGGATTTCGAGGTCTGTGCGATAGTGCGATTTCAAACAAATTTGCTTGATAATCGTATAATATTATACGTCGAGAAATAAAAAAAGGGAGGAAAACTCTAATGCTACTACTTGATATACTTGCCTTCAGCGTGTTATAAATAAATATAGTGGGCCAATCAAAAAATTCGGCTCGAGTTTCACACACATATGTAATACAGGCAACAATATTAATACAATGTCTATGTATTGTATAATGATATCATGATAAGTATCTTATAAATTATAAAATAATTATTAAAGATCTAATTATTATCCCAAGAAGCGCTAATGCGCATTCAACTGCATTAAATGCGCATTATACGCGCATTGGCGCTGTTAAAGATATAAAGTATTATTACATATATAGTAATAAATTATATTTTTACAGTTTTTTTTATAGATTACTTGGTTGAGATGAACAATTTATTCTTTCCCTTGAGTGCAATAAAGTTAAATCTCATTCAAAATATCGAACTGAATTGTTTGACCGACTCAATATATTAAAATCGTATATATACCTTTCCTGCGTGAGAGGATCCACCTCGATCGTTGTCGTTTCCATGAAGGATGGCTCGCTATGTTGCAAAAAGTCAGATTCTGTACAACAAACAAAAACAAATCAAACACCTTGCGTGAGCCTCCGCGTCGCGGCGGATTTCGCTATTTTTTGCTGCTGCTTTACATAGAAAACAAGTACGAATCGTATATATATCTCTCAATTGTACATCATGCCCAAAACAAGGGGATAATACTAGACACATATAAAAAAAGTTACAACATCGCTCTAAACATTTGACGATACATAATATATAATATATATATATATATATATAATACGCATTTTCACTCAACCAGCCAAAACTATATGCAATCACTTTCCTTACAATTCACGCGGCATCTCCCTTTTCTGTTTTTTGTTTCTTCTTCTCTCTTTTTTTTTCGTTTTTTTTTCTTTCGTGACTTTCGCGCGTCAATCACGGAAGATATATGTCTCGCGTGACTCCGACGTTCCTTGTACAACTCTTTACTGCATCTACGATACTCATTTTCTCATATACTGTGATACTAATTACTTTGATACGAGTGCTACAGCAAGCTGTAAATTGTCAAACTCGGCCGAATTCCTATGTCTTCAATCACGTGTCGTATAATAACAACGACAAATGGGACTTATTATACCGACTATCCGAGAGAGAATCGCGGCACTCCTGACTCTTCGTCAGTTGTTCGACGATTTACCCCGGATATCCCGTATATTCCCATTAGACGAGAAGATAACGAGTGCCCAGTAAATACCAGCAGTAAATTACATCAGCATGAACAGCAACATCACATCAATGTTATAACTTCTCACTCAATAATGTAACTGTTGCACCTGTTTATGTTACAATTAAAAATTATTAAGTAGGAAATTATAATATTGTTGTAATGTTGCTAATGGTTGATATTTACTGAGTAGTTGGGTACTGCTTTTGAACCCTAAATAGTGGAAGAGTCTGATGGATCGATTTTATCGTCAAAGTTTACCGTAAGAGAACTGACAAGCGGATACTTCCCGATCAATTTTTATATCCAATTAAATTTAATCGAATATTTCTGTCCATAATGGCATTTCAGATAAATCGTCCAAAGAATCGACATCTTTCATCGGATGTTTCTTGAGCGGATATAAAAATTGATCAGTACCTTGATCTGAAATATCCGTTTGTTAATCTTTCATCGGATAATTTTTCTAAAGTAGAAAATACGATTTTCTGTTCAAACGACCTTGACATTTCTATTTAGGGCTTACACAGTATTTTTGATCTCGTTGAGACACGAGACCAGAAGATTATCTTATCGTTTGGACTTTCGTCAGTAATCGAAGCTACGTTTCATAGGAAAACAGCATCGATCGTATAACAGCGCTCTCGAGACAAACGACAAGAGTTCGCTCGTAGTCCTGCAGTTAATCGATTACGATCATGTTATTACTGAGCAGTATCGCTGTACATACTTCTCAGTATGATTGTGCTGCGCGCAGCGAGCTCGTGTGAAGCGCTGATAAAAAAGCCGCTGAACAAAGCATTTTAGCAGTTAGTCGTAAGAGATATATAAGTACTCAACGTTCTCGATACAACAGAAGAAGTATACTACGGTAAAAACTCAAAGTGGTTCGATTGGACAGCTCGGATTGAATTGCGGATTCGAACACGTCCAGAGAGTGTGTGAATTTTGAAAAATAGAAAAAAAAAATGAACATCATCGCCTGAGATGCTCGAGGCGAGACGCCAATGGTTCGCCAGTGAGAACAAGTGATTCAGATTGTAAAGAATTTTGCAGCGAGAAATCGGAAGAGTCTTCATCCCGCAAAGTGCACCACATCGATGCACCATATTGCACGGACGACAAACAGATAAATAAATAAATATGCACATTCATCTCTCTCAAGTGAAAAGAGTGTCTCCCGGAGTGAACTCGTAAGAGAGGAGGTCCGGCGATCCGGCAACTCGCGCGAAACGGAAGTTCCGCGAGGACACGAGGGAGATATCCATCTCGCGATCACTCCTTTCTACGATTCTCCATCGCGATTCCCGGTCTACCCTCTTGGTTTTGACCGTAGTTCTGCAAACCGCTCCGTTCAGATTTCACGACCACTTTGCACGAGGTCTGTACTAACTACATCCAGTTAGTATTGTTAGACGAACGATCAGGTAGTGCTGGAGGGGTATTAACCGCGAGTTCTCGATGTAACATTAGCTCTCGCGTGCGAGAAGAACGTTAATGCGTCTCTCTGTGGACCCGGAGTCGCTCGGGGCGACGACACGAAGTCGTTGCGCTTGAGTCAGTCGCACCCTCGCTTCCGTGGCACGTCGACGGGAAGGGAGTTCTGTGAATCGCGTGAGAAAACTCGCGCGTTCGAGGATCTGTCTTGGCCGTGAAAACTGCATTTGTCTTTTGGACACGAGTCGTCAGTCGGAAGAACGATCGTAGACTCGAAGAGTCAGAGGGAGAAGTGGCAGGGAACGATCGCCATTTGGCGATTTGTGTCTTCCACTTCAATTTCTTAGTCCCTGAGATTCAAGTGAGTTCAATGCTGCAGATACCAAAAATTGCACTATTAATTATAATTATTTGTATACAATTATTATTGATAATACAATTATTAATTATTGATTGTGTGACTATCGCTTTATTTGTCTATCAAATATAAAATAAATCATAATATATTTGTATAAATACATTTACATTCAATGCAAATACACTTTATACAAATATAAAACACGATTATGTGAGATCAATGATATAAATATTATCGTTTAATTAAATATTAAACAATAATATTAACATTTATATATAATAAATATATATATATACTTACATATATTTTTTTATATATTTATATGTATATAATATGTATATATTTATATGTATATAAATTATATATATTAATATAACTATTTATGGAAATACAACATATCGATTGCAGCATCGAATTCGCAGGAACTGTTTCTCCAGGTTTCGATTTTGTCGTTCGTCCTCCGTGACGTACGCATTAACAGTCTCGCGAGGTCAGAGAAGGGAAGATAAGAGGCAAGGGGTTCGTTAAGAAGCTGCAAGTATGAGTCGCTCGGTGCAACACAACTCGCTCTTTGTTGCAGCATAGCGCAAGAGAGAGAGTTAACTGGTGCCGTTTGGGAAGTAGTCGTGATACTCATCCGTACATATCGACCAGATTCGAAGTAAGCCATTCTCGTAAGACTCGTGTGTGCTTACACATTTATGATACGTACATATACATATATGCGTAAAGATTACTTACATGACGATTCGCCTAACAATCCTAACGTGACTAAGAAAACACGATTGTTGGTCCCTCTACACTTTAGCTTTATCTTGAGTTGCTTATTGTCAGAAGAGAGATACAGATAGATAGAGACAGAGAGAAAGAGAGAGAGAGAGCTAGAGGGGTAAAGGTGAACTATCAGGATGCTCGATAAACTGAAAGAAACAAGTAGAGAAAAGAAGAATATTGGAAAAGAAGAAAATAAAAGAGGAGGGGAGGAGTCTATAGGAGGTTGTTTCGATGCGAAGAGTGTTTCGTGCAACTAGGTGTCTTTCCCAAGAAAGATCACCGCAAGGAGGATCGTCGTGCCTCCTCTGCGCGGAGGACAGCTGCGAAGAACGCAAACTTAAGTTCGGTAAGATGATGCAGAGATGCGGTCATGCAGGGGTGTCATTATAAAAAACAAGAATTCATGCAGAGAGCGCATACAAACTGGACGAGCTTCAGAAAAAAGAAAGCTTGCGGAGCGAGCTTCCCGCGCTCGCGTTTTCAGAGTTATCTGTCCTCGTGACGGTAAATCAGCGGGCTTTCATCGTGTCAGATATACATGAGGTATCTTCGATATCGAGAGCAATCCTATATATGTGTGTGTGTAATACAGTCGACAGAAGAAAGTTTGGTATACTTTTGCCTCGATGAATCTTGTAATACATGCGATATGCAATGGGAATATTTATCTTCTGCAAGAAAATAGATTAACTAAATGTCTGATGAAATTTATGAAATAGAAAAATTCGGTTGAATCTATCAGAATTCTGTTCAAATTAACAAGATTTCTCGTTAATTTGAATAGATGCAAGTTCTGGTTAATCAGAAATTTTATCAATTTCAACAGAATTCTAGTAACATCAAACGGAATTTCTGGTTTGTTCCTACTTTGCCAGATATTTAGGTGATTCAAATTTTTGGATATGGATACGTTGCGCAATTCATTAAGAAAAACAGAAAATATCGCAACGTTTCTTCTATTGACTATTGTATATGCGTGTGTTTGCGCAAGACGGAAGCACTTTTGTTTGACAGAACCATCACAGTCCTCGCCATTTTGTTTGCGAAAATCACTAGAAGCGTCGTGCCACTCCCTGCGATCAAGATAAATCTGCACTCTGCACTCTTTCCACGTGATTCATTGACGAATAAGATATCCACAGCTTTGCAAATGCTCACCCACAACAGACTCGGAGATTGAATACGGAGACTCGGAATACGGTGAATACCGCGGTCCGTGAATTTTCTTGTCAATAGTGTCGTGTGTCTCTGGGACATTGCATACTTCGTAATTAATATCAATCATCATTAATATCATAATTAACATCACGATCGTTCGTGGAAGTAACGAAACTTCGACATCATCCATGTCAATCGACGATATATATCGACTGAATATCGCGCCTCCTCTTCAAAAGCGACGTACTTAATTATTTTAGAAAGATAATGCGACTAATATTTTTTATTAATGCGAATTATGATAACGTCAGAACGGTCGAATCTTGATTCACAACTGTACTATTCAAATTCATTGGAAACTCTCGCTCATTCGAGTCGTGTCGCTTTCAAAGATGAGGCGAGATATCAAGTGAGGATACAAGTCGAGAGCTCAAAAATTCTACCCTGGAAAATAGGCTGGAACGACATCGTGACGTCGGTCGCGCTTCACTTGGCCGCTTTAACATTAAAAGTACTTTTAGTAGATATAAAAATATAATGTGAAAGGGTGGTCGTACCCGGCTTGCCTCGGGGCATTGTTAGACAGGGTGTAGATGACACGTTGGAACGTTTGTGGCTCCAGGACAAGTATAAGTGCTACTAGAAGCGCCAACGCAGCCATGGCTATGCTCATCCAACACGCGCAGCTGGTTCTACCAGGTGTCTTCGTCCTAGTCTTCACTTCTATCGCATCGCCTGAGCGAACCGACCGTACTGTACCGTGCGTTTCTGCCACTTATAAAGATTATCAGTTGCCATGAATCACCGATCTTTTTATTGATTGATTGATTGATTGATTGTTTGATTGATTGATCTGGATGATGTTCCATCGCCGTGATTAGTATGAGCAAGCCGAAAGTAGGATAGCCGTATTCCGTCCCGAGATTCGAGTCGAGATTATCGAGATGATCTCGTCACGTTGTATACACGTCGCTATTTTCTCTACTCCTTTGGTGGAGGAGCGAATATGTGACACGGAGGAATGAGATCGATCGATCACGAGTCGCGATTCGCGACCACCACCGTCGTAAGTCGCGTTAACGAGATACACCTCCGGTCCTTCCGTTTACTTTCAAAATAACGTCGGACTTCGACGATGTGACAGATGCGCGATGTGACGATCGCACGTGACTGATCACGGGGTGAGTCTCGATGAGAGTATGCTAGTCCCAGAAGCCCCTGATCACAAAAGATTCCATATACATCCATCCGGTAGCCAAGACCAACGACAAGGGAGAACAACGTTAGCTCGTCGCCAAACAGCGTTCTGCCCCCAAAGGACAACGAGGCTTACTCCACGAGTTTCCCCAAGACGAAGCAACACTTACAATCGAGACCATTCCATTAACACCGTAACACGTTATAATCCTCTCGCAGCGCGCCCGCGAACGGGAGCACTTCCGCGCATCTCCGCGCGGTCCTCTATGACGAAAGTGCCACAACACTTCACAAGCTTTGTTTTTCCTTCTCGTTTCACCCTGCCCCTTTTGTACGCGCGACCTACCGCCGTTATCATGCAAACACAAACATGTAACACATACTATGCCGAAGACCACAGGTCATGCAGCAGTTCCCGTGCAAGATCATTCCCGTCGGCGGTTGTTGCTGGAAGCAACCGACGCTTTCCAGCAACAACGTCCGGAAAGTCTGAGGTCTTCGCTTCAGCAGGTCGTTGCTTCAACTTCAAACTGTCAGCGTTTAGAGAATTTTTTATCGTATCTTAGCAGTTGCAAGACACGTTAAAAGGAACTGAAGTTTCAACTTCAAATCAAATTTAGAAAACTAAACTTTAAATAAAATCAAAAAGCAAACCTAGATTTTAAATTTTATAATAAATTAAATTAAAAAAAAAAAAAATAACTTTATAAATCAAGTTGAAGCAAACTTAAACTTTAAATTCATTAAAACTGAAACTTCGTCCTGCCAAGATGAAGACAGCGCTGCGAATCAGCACAAGAACCTCTCCCAAATTCCCTAGAACATGCTCAATACATCCAATACCCAATTTTAGTTTTAGCGTCCAGGACTCAGTCGCTCAAGGAGCGATCACAAGTTATCACAAGCCCCATCACCAATAAACACGTCAAATTAGCCGGTCACTCTACCCGAGCGAACATCAAACAAGTCGTCGAAGCAGTGGTGTGCTCTCGAGTCACCGTGCGGCTAGCGGGTAGAGTACGTCAAAAGGGAAGAGTGCGTGAGAGAGGAGGGTGGATGCGTGCGAGGGTAGGCCGGGGGTTTCAACAACGAAAGCTCGATGTGCAACAACCCGTATGTCTGTACAGAATATACAAACATATATATCGCATTTGTTTCTCTTTTTTTACGGGCCCGTTTATCCGTGACGATCGGTTAGCGGGGTAGGACGGGCGAGGGGTTGGAGGGTGGCGGGGGAGCGAGGGCGGGGGGTATGTACATTGCTTACTTAGAAGGTTTAGCTGTGAGAGTGCGGTACCTTGGTCGTCCTCCAACGGGGACAGCTCCGCACCTTCGTGCAGTGCTACATCCGACCCGCTGGAACTGCCCAACGTACGCCTCTTGCTCGGAGATCGTCTTCTAGGTTGCGGCGAACCGTCACTATCGGTGTCGCTGTGCACCTCGTGTCTCGCGCTACCGTTCTTGTTGTTGTTGACATTGTTGTTGCCGCCGCCGTTGTTGTTGTTGTTAGCAGCGGCGTAAACGTCGCCGTTGCCGGAGCCGGGCGAGGTGTCTTGGGAGAAACGCGAAGTTTCCCACTGATCCGGCCGTTCCTCCTGCGGCTTGGACATCGACAACTCCCAGGCCATCTCAGACTTTTCGTCCTTCGTCAGCGGCCGACCAGCAGCGGCGGCAGCAGCAGCTGTCGTCGCAGCCGCCGCCGCTGCCCATGAGGCGGTGTCCCCAACCTCTGCTTTTACGACCCGCTCTTCCAAGCTCCTCTTTAAAGCGTCCTCGTAGCTGCCGTCGCCATCCCCGCTGCTGGAGGAGATCACCGTTCGTACCACCTTCTCGGTTCTCTCCACCTCCGGCATCTCCATTGTGACGCGCTGCACGGTCGTGACTGTCTGCATGATACCTTCCGAGCCCATGGATCTGTCAGTCTTGATCGTAGTGGTGGTGGTGCTGCCGCCGGTGGTGGTGGAGTCCGGGAACTTGTCGCCGAAGTCGAAGATTTCGCTCGGTAGGGTGCTGGCGACCAGGTTTATCCTCTTTACGACCTCCTCGCGCGTCATCGGTTCCAGATCACTGCCCTCCGCGCTGAGAGTCACGGTTCTCACCGTCTCCACGACTCCACCCGTCTTTAATAGCTCCTCCAGCTTTTCGGGGTCGACCGATGGATCGCTACTAGTCGCCACGGTGGTAGTCGTCGTTCTTCGTATCTGTTCGACTTTGTCATCCTTCAATGGAGTCACTTCCATTCCGTCGATGACATCGCTCACATGATCTGTTCTGGCCGTCTGAATCATGTCATTGGGCGACACAGTTTCCTCTACCGTCTCCTTCGTGAGTTCGCCGTCCGTGTATTCCTTGGTGATGCAACGGACGGTCCGCGAGATCGTTCTCGGAGCAGCGCGCTCCTTCCTCGACGACTCGATGACGGTGGATCTCATGATCGCGTCGGAACTTTCGATCTTGTCGGCGATCGGAGGCTCTTCGCTCTCCGAGGACTGTCTCTTCGCCGCTTTCACGGGTATCTTGCTCTTCGGGCTGCTCTTGGTCGGCGAGTGCGCCTCCTGCTCGAGCGTTTTACCTTTGCTGGAGCCGTGCGACGGTATTCGTGAGGCGTCACCGAGCTCCAGGCGGAGCTCGGCTTTGGTAGACGGCTTGGTGGAGTGACGCGGGGCGGGAACAGGTTGCTTTGATGGAGCAGAAGTAGCATGCCTCTCTACAGTCCCATCAATCTCAGCCGAATCATGCCCTGACCCATCCAAAAGGACATGGACAAGAACAGGAACGAGGACATAAAGCACATTGATACACACTAAGAATCTCAACTCTAGCCCAGCTTGCCAAAGTTGGACCGACAGAATTCAGCGTGTCTGCCTCGCATACGTATGTGTACGCGCCATACACACTAAGAGAGACTCGCGCCGGTGCACACGTGCGCACGTAGGCACGCAGATGGACAACACACGCATGTGCGTACGCGCGCACGCAGGCACACACGCACGCACGCAGCGGGTCAAAGGTGCGTCAGGACACACAGGTGAGATTCGGAAGAGAATGCGCTTCGGCGTGTGATGCGTGTGCGCGTGCACCGCGGCACACTACCGCGTACACGTATATTTAGTTTCCGGGCTGTTGTTAGTTACGGTACCGCACGATTACAGGATTAGTCTGTTTGTCAAGAAATAAAAAAGTATACACTCATTAGAGAACGGTGTTTATTCGTGGCGCCTGAGTCTTACTAAAACGTACCTGTACCGTGGAAGAGAACCGGAATTGCGTTTGAGAGTTACTAATTGATGCGCGTGCGTCGACGCGACAATGAACGCGACGAGGAGTCTGATAAAAGACTTACTTGCAAGAATTACTTTCTACGATACAACATCTTTCCTCTTGGGAACTACACGAGGAATCAACGAGTCTATTTTCTAGATCCTTTACTATAATCTTCTTCAGAAAGAAAGCTACCTTCTGGTCTGGTTGTATCATAAGTTACCAGACATTCTGCGAGTCAAAACTGGCTACGACTACTCTGTTCAAGTACACTATGGCCCATATTAATAGGAGTTGCTTGAAACTCATCCTACGTGAGATATCCAGATCTGAATGTAGGATTCGATTTGAGTTCTTGATTTGAGTTATATAATATATATACAACGTTACATTTGTAATCGCGATTCAACTGAAACATCAAACTCTGCATTCAAATCCGAGTGTAGTCTCACTTGAGACAAGTTTCAACTGACGACTATTAACATGGATCTCAGATCCGTATTAATAGTTGTCATTTGGAACTTTTTCATGTGAGATACTCAAGAGATTTAGAGTTAGATCCAAGATTTTAGTTGAATTATGTGACACATTTATACTTGTAATCGCGATTCAGCGATTACAAAAATAAAAAAACTCACATCAAACCTCTAAATTCAAGTCCGGAGTGTCTCATCCGGAGCAAGTATCAAATAACGACTATTAATACGGATCTATGACTATGTATATACAACAAATTGATCTCGAGATCAACGAAACGCGAATGCAGCTCTCGCGCGAGAACGGTCTCTCTCTTCATCGCGCGTTGCGATATATATAAAGAAATGTATATTTATATATTATATATATGTATATATATCGGTGATGGAAGAGATTGGTAACTATTTAGTAAGAGACGTGCGCACAGTATCAGTTAGTGTGAAAGCGTCGGCAGGTGCTAACTATGGAAGATAAAGCTAAATATAAATGAGGGCACCAAAAAACAGAGTCTGCTACCGTACTGATTTCTTCGAGAGAGACAGACAGACAGAGAGAGAGATAGAGAGAGAGAGAGAGACAGACAGAAAGAGAGAGAAAGAGAGAACCGGATGGTGTGATCCGCGTTTTACGTGAAGTCTTTACATTTGTTTGTTTTTCCTTTATTTATCTTTTTTACTTGAGACAAGTTACGTTACCTGCTTTGCTCGAAGTGAACGCCTGTTCCGCCAGGTTTTGTGCCCGCCTTGCAGCCTCTTCGGTCACGTCTGAAAGGTCATAGGGTCGAAAATTGAGTTTACATCAGGTATCGGCAAGTCGTACATTGAAAGCAATGATTCAACAAAGATTAGATGAATGATGTTTTTCCCTGCATGGCATACCTCGGTTCATGCTTCGCTAGTTGTGGGTACTCCTGTTAATTCAATGAGACATATTACCGCATAATCGTAACACGTGATCGCTATAATGTTATGCTATAAACGAAAGAGAGATACATGGTTATGACGAAATTATACACATATATACATATATGTATGTATATACGTATGCACTTTTACATATTAATGAGGTAAAATAAGGCTCTGGCGTTCTCGACAACGTATACAAGTACGAAAGAAATTATATCCGTAAATAGTAAGACGTTTAAAAAATAGCGCAAAAAACCTGGAATCATGCATCAGACAGATGTTATCGAGAAAATTATTGTTAAGACCGGAAAACTGAAAATAAGTACAGCAAATAAGTAAATCTAGTGCACAGGTATATTATTTACTCCTCTCTTCGCGTAACGTGAAAACGAAAGAGAGGAAATAAGAGAAAGAGGGAACTAAATTAGATGTCTCTTTGAATCTTCATACTGCAACAAATTGTTCCTGATTATTTCATCTCGATGGAATGCGACGAATGTACGGATGAATATATTCATGTAATAGAAAATCATCTCACATTCCGATCAACAATATACCCATTCAACATACGGTAACAGAAAGAAAAATCCAAAAATAATATGCAGATAACTGAAACAGGAACAAGCAGTAGAGTATGAATCTCGAGTGTTTTTCTCTCCTCGATCGACTCGAGAAGTCGCAGGGATAATATTAGTGAACTGCAAAATGACTGATCAAATTAGAAGAGTGGTTAGGCTTTCATTATAGAGGTGACAAAGGTGCAAATGAAACTCTTTATCTCTCTGATGTCACGAGAACAACTAGTCAAAAGAAAACTGAAGTTACAGAAAAGCGTCAACTTAATCATTAATCATGTTACACACAGCTGGTATATTTATATATATATATATATATATATATATATATATATATATATATATATATATAT